CCACTTGTGAAATGGCTATCAGAGAAGCTCATGCAGTGACTCTGCGGAAGAATCCTATTCAACAGGGTCATTATACACCAAACACTAAACTAGTCAATCAGATCTTCACCTTGGGGAATTTGGATATGACACGTAGAGAGGTCTATAGAGAGTAGTGGGCCACACACTTTGAAAGACACATAGGCAGTAAACCAAAGCTGTGAAGTAGTAGAAGCCATAGGTAGCAGAAGCTACTATTAAAGAGAAGTCATGATATAGCAGAGAACTAGAGCAGAGAGAAAAGGCATCAGTAAATGCAGTAGGAAGAAAAGGGAAGTGAAAAATAGAGGCGGAAGCAAGGACAGATGAAAACTGCCACACAAAAATGGGATAGTGCTGGAGTTGCTACTGGCCTGCCGGGAATGTGTCGTGCATAAGGTTTCAGGTCTCCATGAGCCCACTGTTCAATTGTCAGAGTGGGTACCTATTCTCTTGTCCATGCCTCTGTACGATAGCTAAGGCAACAGAGGTGTGTCTATTTCTTTATTTCCCAGGAAGTCTAACACAGGTCTACAGTGTTGGAGTATCTATTAGGAAACTAAAATGTAAAGAAATGAGCAAAGGAAGAGTAGTACATTTGTGTAAAGCAAATACATACACGAAACCTTTAGAGAGTTATGTATGTGCCTCCCGATATATTTTGTATATTGTAAACAAATGCATAATCTTTAAAGAGCTATCGTTTCCCTCCTATTTAAGGACCTCAGAAAATAAAATTGCCATCTAACAGTAGGAAAGGGAAGCAACTGGCCAGCACCGAGTCAGGTGACAACCAGTTAAAAAAGCAAAAGGTGAAAGAAGTGGGACAAAAGTAAAAAAGGGCAAGTGTCATAAGAACTCATAAGAGTTCTATTCTCTGGGAACCTGCAAGAGAGATAAGCTAAGAACAGCAGCTGGGAGCAAAAGTCATAATAAACTGAGATGATCAGAGGCCAAAATAGATTAAAAGAACCCAAAATTCCAAAGAGCGCCTTTTGTTATTCCCTAAGAAATAAAACACCTTAGATTTTTAGATGGCTGGTCTGACTCCATTGCTAAAGTGTATAGAAAAGTTAGGACATCACAGATTTCACTGGCTTACCATCCACTTACTAACACATTTCTTCACTTACTTGATCTTTCATTTAATATATATTTTTTGCCAGGTTCCAGGTAGGTATAAGGTTGGAGTCCCCACATAGATTATATACTCAAGCAGGAACTCGTTGGGGAAAGAGGGAGATGAGAATAGACTTCTAGGCACCATTATGGCTGCAAGGACTAAACAGACAGAATCCACATTTCCAAGAGCTGACAATCTAGGAAACAAGATGCTAAGTTCCCAAGGGGCCAAACAGGTATAATCTACACCTTTGAAAAGTCAGTCATGAGTCTTGGCAAAGGGTAAGGATTGCTTCTACCAGTGGGGAGGAGGAAAGTTTTTCATGAAGGAATGTTTTCACTGGGTCTCTAAAGGTGAGTAGTTTGCGGCAGGTGAGGAACTGTCCACAGGGCACGTAACTGGAGGGAGAAGGGAAAAGCAAGCCACAGAGACAGGCACAAAAATAAGGCCTCCTTGAAGATAGCGAACAGGTGGATGGGCACAAATTGCATTGAGTACAGAGGGAGATGAAGCCAGAAATGCCACATCAGGGGCAGAGCATGAGGGTCCGGATGCTAAGATATGGTTTCTTCACTTACAAGATAATAGGAAACTGTAAAGGCTTCAGTATAGAGGAATGACATAAGAATTAATTATCATTTTAGGGGCTTACTCTGTGCTAGTATAATTTTATGTAATCATCACAACTTAACAACAAAATAGATAATTTTTATTCCTATTGTATTTAGGAAAAAACTAAGGCTTACAGAGCTCAGAGAGCTTAACCAAGATCACAGAGCAAGTAACTGACCTGGATTCACAATCAGGACAACTGAACTTAAATACTCATGGTATTAACTGCTAAAAGTGTGATATGGTCTTGTTCTGTGTCCCCACCAAATCTCATATTGAATTGTAATCCCCAGTGTTGAAGGTGGGGTCTTGGAGGAAGTGATTGGATCATGGGGGTGGGATTCTCATGAATGGGTTAGCACCATGGCCTCGGTGCTGTTCTCCTTGCAATAGTGAGCTCTCATGAGATCCGATTGTTTAAGAGTATGTGGCACCTCCCACCTCTCTTGCTCCTGCTCTGGCCATGTAAGACCCGCCTGCTTCCCCTTTGCCTTACACCACGATTGTAAGTTTCCTGAGGTCCCTCCAGAAGCAGAAGCTACTATGCTTCTTGTACATCTGCGGAACTGTTAGCCAATTAAACCTCTTTTCTTTATAGATTATCTAGTCTCAGGTAATAAACTAAACTCCATCCTTCTCTCTCTAATATGACCATTAAAATTCAAAAGTTTTGTGAAGATTGGATTGGTCAGGAAAAATGCAAGAGGCAGAGGGATCAGCTAGGAGGTCACCACATGTTTGCAGATGACAGAAAACAAATCTGGTGACCATGGAAAGGGAAGAAAATGGCTCATGTAACATTCATACTGTTGCTGAGTCAGGGTAACAGCTTTTAATCACAGGAATATGCAGAGTGGGTAAGGCAGAAGGCAGCTGTTCCTTTGTGTCCACTCATTACACCCTCAAGTCATATCCCACTTTTAAACCCTCCTCAACCTACCTACAGAACTCAGCATCTGTTAAAAGTCCCCCAAAAATTCAGTCTCATAAATACCATGAGCACATATTGGGATCCTTATTAAAGATTTTATGAAGAAAACAGAAATGGGGACTTTCCTCACATTTACACAGTAGCCAATAGCTTCAAAATGCCCAACAAGATACTTATCTTCTCCCAATCTTCTCTCACCCACACCTACCACAAGATTTATTTCAAATATCATTTTGCTTTTTTCTCCCTCTTTATTCTCTCACATAGTACCTCTCTCACTTCTAGATTTTTTCCCTGAGAATTTAAAATTTATCAGACCTTTATATGTGAAGCAATACAGTCCTGGATATTACTCCAGCTTTTTCATGGCCAAATCTCTCAAGGCCATGCCTAGAAAAGCAAAGGGCTCAGCTTCTAACAGGAACTGTCCACCCTATGAAGGAGTTCAACTGCCGTCTTTTGTTTCTCAAGCAATCCTAAGAGGTGCTCACCACCCATCTCAATTAACTGTTCTAAGCATTTCTTGCAAATGTGCATCAGCTGGGTCTCCCCAAGGGGAATCCTGCTGAAAGAAATTTTGTTTATATAGTTGCAAAGATACTAGTACAGGAGCACAAGGGGCTTCAAGCCTGGATGACTGGGAGGATGACTGTGGCTTTATCAGAAATCCGAAAATAAAGAGCTGGAAACAGGACCAAAATCCATGAAAGAGGTTAGGGCTGGAAAATTGAATCTGGGGTGCATTCAAGATTGAGTTGACACAGGAGAAGGGAACGAGAAAGAAAAGACAGAGAGATGAGAAGCCTGAGGGAACAGCATAGGGAAAACGTATGATGAGGCAGGTGCCAGAAAAGGAATGTGTGAAGAAGACAGCAAAGCCAGAAGCACAGAATAAGAAAATGAGAAAAAATTCTCTCCTGGAAGCCAGAGCCAAAGAGATTTCCAGGTTGCTCAGCTGCAGAGGCCAAAAACATAGAAACCACCTTAGATTCTTCTTTTGCTCTCACACCCCACATCCAACCCATCATCAAATCAGGTTGATCCACCCTTCTAAATAGCTCATTCTGACCACCCTTCACTCTTGTCATTTCTGCCAGCCCAGTCCAGGCCATCATCTCCTCTTGCCTAAGATTGCTGCAGTAATCTCTGCTTCTACTCTGCCTCTAACATTCCAAATCCAACGCGACAGTCAGAGTGAGGCTTTTAAAATGTCACGTGGATCACATCAGTTCTCTGACCAAAAACCCTTCACCTGCTCTTGAGTGTTTCAAAGCCAAAGTCCTTACAATTGATAGCCACAAGCCCCATGCGATCTGGCCAGGAACCACTCTGATTTTGTCTCCTACTACTTGCCCAGCTCACTCGTTCCACCCCATCATGGCCTCCTCCTCCTCCTGGAATCTATCAGGCACATTCCTGCATTTGGACCTTTACATTTGGATCCTGCATTTGGACCTTTACATCCGCTATCTCCTTTTCCTTGAATTCTCAAGTGAGACATCTAGGGTACAAAAAGAGGTAAGGTCATGTAAGTGCCAGCCCCATAAGTCTTACAATTGATGGTGATTTTAGTTAGATAATATGGTTTTTTTTTTATATGTCAATTCCTTGTCGTCTGTATTTTTCCTGTAATGTATAAGGGCAGAAATTTTGATTTGCTTTATTCATCCATAGATTTCAAGTACATAGACAGTGCCTGAATATACTAGGCACTCAATAAATGTTCGTTGAATGAATAAATGAGGATGGTGTGCCCACAAATAACAAATGCTGCAGATAAGCCATATAACTCATAGATTTAAAAGGTATTTAAAAATTTGGGAATAAGATGATCATTATTTCTTTCTAAAAGCACAGGCAAGGACATAAACCAGTGTAGATGATGAAGTGAGAGCAGGAAACCTGAGATCCACTTTCTAGAAATTATACAGCAGCATTTAAAAAATAAGGTGGCAGGTATTACTTACCTTTACTTGGAGTCTGTCATGGAAGGAAAGTTGAGAAATAAGACCTTAGCTTGCAGGGCAGGGGCAGATAAATGGTGGGATGGGCTGCTAATGAAGGTTTCTAAGGGGACAGAGAGACCCATGGTTTGCAGGCAAAAGGTACAGCTCCAGAGAGCATTGAGTTGCTGAAGATGTAAGAACCAAGTAATAATTGGCTCTGTGAGAGGAAAAGTAAAAGAGAGAAGAAGAAAATAAATAAGGTGGAAGAAGAAAAAAAAGACATGGAGCAGTTTAATGAAAAGAGTCACTTGAAAAGATGGTCATAACAGTCCAGTGGACAATGATACAATGCTCCTAACATTATAATCACCTTACATATTAGATCTCACTCCTGTGGTACAGCAGAAAGAACTTCCATTTACAGCAAGGAGGCATTTGAAACAACTAAACTGAATACCAGTTTAAAAAGGAAAAGTTCAAAGGTAATAGGTAAAAGCAGATGAAAGACAAATGATTAATCATCTTAAGACAACTGCAAGAAGATGTTCAACTAGTAAAATAAACAGGCAAGCCTTTTAGTTCTTCAAAAAGGCATTGCCAGCTTTGGCAGCCATCGAGATATCCACTAAACATCTAAACTTGAAACTTCAGCTGGAAATTAAACCCACTACTCCATGCTGTGAATGAAGGGCTCTGATCTTAAGGTTGGAAAACAGGGTGGGAAAAAAGAGAGAAAGAAAGAGGCAATTTTCATTAGTGTCTGCAGTCAGCTAGAGGGATATTCAAAATCACATTTCAGATGAAGTATGAGCATGAGCAATATATTCACCTGGTGCTCACAAATCCCAAGGAAAGTTAATTAGCCACTTGGGGATGCAATTACATCTTCTCTACTGTAGACGCACTGTGGGAAAAGGGCAAAGAGTTGGAAACAGTTCTGCCAGGAATGAGATTAGTTTATACATTGGTTTCAAGCCCTAGTTTTTCATATATGTGAAAAATGAAACTAGAAACATGTGCTCTGAGATTGCACCTGACTCATTCCTTGTTTTAACTCGGACATCTAAAACGGTGATCAGGCCTGTTGTTTTATAAGAGGACTCACTCAATCTTTCCCCAGAGGGCTTATTAAAGTCCTCATCAATAGTTTCCACAAGAGGACAGTGATCCCTTTTCCCAGGATCATGAAGGATATATGTGACTTTTCCCACTTTTTCTATCCCATGTTAGATCCATCAACACATTTCATCACTTAGTTAATTCAAACCTGCCTCAACTGAGCACATTTTATTGTTACAGCTTCAAAAAATTCTAAAGAGTAAATTTCACTTATATTGTACCAAAAGCCTTTTAAAAAATCAGAACAAGTCTCACATATACCCAAAGTAATCAAACTTTCTTTCCTGGTTTGCTCAAAATCTGTGTTAGCTTGTAGACGTTTAAATCCGGTGCAACTGTTTTGTCTTTTAAAGAAAAACCTAGCTAGCTTACATGTCATGAGCAGTAAGCACACATCCTTTTTAGAAAATCCTATTACTATATAACGTTTCAGCTGAAAAGCCACAGGTGCAAGAGGCAGTGTGTCTGAAGTTCTCACTCACATTCTCTTTTATTATTGCCTATTTCAACCGCATGATCTGTAATGAATACATTGGATTTTGTGCTCTTTCAGAAGTTTCAGCAAGTGTCTCCATGCCTTTACCTTGGTGTTCCTAAGAGAAGGGGAGCCTCGAGGAGGGGTGGAAGAAATTGAAAAATACAAATAACAAATCAAATATTACAATTGATTGGATAAACAATTTCCCTTCGTCTGTTTCTTAATAAGTGATTGATTTTGTGATCAATATTCATTATTTCTCAGAACATACCAAACTGCTTATTGAACAAATGAATGGTTGAAACTACAATGACACAGAATCAAAAAGGTGAACCAATTTTTTTAATAACATGGGTTGAACAGACTGTCTCATCTTACCTTGTTGTTCCACATCAATGCACTTTTCTGCATAGCCCTTTGGAAAGAGGCTGAAGTTCAGGAAAACAGGAGGTAATTCATTACTCATTAAAAGAAATGGGTTATGGGAACACATGTTTATAAGTATGATGACTGAGTTGCAGTTTTTGTTGGACTGTCTTTTGTCTATTCAAAATAAACCCTCTAAGCTACCAAACCAGGCTCCCACTAAACGCATTGCCTTTTGAAGTTAGTGTATTCCATGGATGTATAAAAAGTTGAGAAGCCCAGAGCGTATTTGCGTTCTAGACATATTTTTAATTGAAATTCAGGAAGATGACTAACAGATATTTGGATTGAAATAAGTTAAATCAACTACTCATTCATCACCATTGTCATTTTGTTTACTTGTTCTATAACTTTCAAAGCATTTACTTGAATTCAACCAATTCTGATAAACTTACAAGCATACAGGTTATTCTACTTGGCAGTTTCCTTCTTGAAATAACGTAGTAACTGATATATTTTTGAATGGCCATCTTCACCCTGATTTTTAGTGGCTTCGATGGTCTCATGTACATACAAAGAGGGTATGCAGAAACGCAACTGCACTGGCAGCTAGTATTACCACTAACCTCACCAAATTGATAACACTAACGTGGGAATAAGCTCCAATATTTAGCAGAGGTGGTCAACAGGATCCTGGCTAGATGATGAACATGCATAGGTGGGCTCCAACTGTGGCTGCTAGGATTCCCCTGCCCCTTCCAGCCTATAGAGGAGTGAGGAACCACAGTAGCTTGCTTCCTTCCTTTTGGGCTCTCCTTTCTCATCCCCCATTGCAGTCCCAGTGTCTGTTACAAATACCTAATGACCTAGCTGTACAAGAAATGCTGGATTGATCAATTATGAAAGCAACAAATGATTAACTAGTTTCTTTTTTTAAAAAACCACATCACTTATTTAAAGTCAGTCATCCAAGGCTTATCCAAACTACTTAGGAAAATCTCATTAAATCAGGCTCCACTAATTAGAAATTAGATAATTCTGACAGGAGCAAAGCTAAAGTTTACCTTTGTACCGTCTGTAAAAAAATATTTTTGCAAAGCAAAGAAATAACATAAACAAGTCTTAATGATTTTCTAAATCTAAAGTTCCAGGATCGATTCAATATTCTCCTAAGTATCTTGACAGCAAGTTGTCAACCTTAAAGGTATCTTCATGCTATATGTAAACCTCCACCTACAGAAAATAATCAAAGCTTTAATTGTAAAACATTCTTATCTATCAATAAAGAAGGTCTCAGTAAAGACTTTACTAGGTAACATAATTGGAGCCTAGTTATAATTAAAGCTACTTTAATATATGCCTAAGTGTCTCATTTATACTGCATCATCAGGATTCATACAAGTAAGATTTTCAGACAACTGAGGTTTTTATTTTAAGTAGCAATACTTATTTATCTTAATTGGGCAGGTATGACACAGTGATGCAACACGGGCGATCTGAGTCTACTTCTGGCTGCATCTTGGGCAACTTTATGGAATTTTGCCTCCGTTTCTTCATCTGTAAAATGGAAATAATAATGGTAACTCTTCATAATCTTTTTCTGAGGATTTGATGAGATAATGCATTAAAAAGCTCTTAGATAAATGTTTGTTTCATAGTAAATGCTCAATAAGTTCAAATTACTACTATTTAATGCTTTTTGAAAGAACTTAGAAAAAAATGTATTGCATAATGATCTGCTTTCTCAAACAGAGTGAAATGAGCATAATTTAACTAATTCTTATTTATTCAAAATCACCGTCATGAAAATAACTGCATTATGCTTTAGGGGACCACTTTTGCTTCTATTAGGTCCTATCAAATTATCATACTTGTCTCTAATAGTTCTTCATCTCCTTCTTTTCACTGCTGTTCATTATCTGTTATCAGTATGTCCCTGGTGTTTCTCATACAATGCCTTATTGTACGCCCAGTGGTCTACAATATGAGGTTCTGAGAGCAGTGCCCTGTTCTCCTATGAGGTATATTGTGTGTGCCTTTGGGAAGCTGTTTTCCACACAGCTAGGAAGACCTTTGCCATGTTTTCCTGAATTCTAGAGTATAGTCAATGGCCGAATTTGCTAAACCTCTGAGTTCTTCATAAAAAGAGTGCTTTCATATTTAAAAGTCCTACATATATGTTTATTTAGAGTTCCACAATCAATACTTTTCACAGAGACTGGCCATCCCTCAGTTAATAATATTTTATAGAATTCATTACTGTAAATCATGGGTACCTTTAAATTGATAGAAGGCCATTGTAGTCAGTGTGGCTTATTTGTATTCTGTAGAAGATGGTGACTTGATAATGTACTGTTTCTCTCCACCAGCCACTTTCACCTATGAGTTACAGCAATATAAAATGTGTACAAGTTTGGGGAGTTTTGGGGGTAGAATGTTTCCCCAGTCTTCCATCATCTAGTCTGAAGTCTCTAAAATAAGACTCACATCAGAAAAATGAGATATGGAAAACCATTAACAGCAGTGTCTCCAAGCATGGTGAGTGAATTCCTCTAATAAGTTTTCATCCATCAGCATCAAACTCAGCACAAATGGAGTATAGGCTCTATCTTACATGTGCCACATTGTGGTGTTTTTCATCTCATAGTGTGTAACATAAGCTGATGTGGCATTCGGGATTTATGGAATATAGATGTATTTTACTTAGCAAGAGAGAACATGTTTTCTCCACAGAAGAATAAATAGATGTTGAAAGACACATGTATGCTTTGAAACATCGTATTATACAATGTCCATGTTATTCCTCTAAATATCAGATATAAAGGAACCATGAATCCAGGGACAGTGGCTCACGTCTGTAACCCTGGCACTTTGGGAGGCTGAGGCGGGAGGATACCTTGAGGCCAAGAGTGCAAGGCCAGCCTGGGCAACATAGTGAGACCCCATCTCTACAAAAATATTTAAAAATTAGCTGGGCATGGTAAAACATGCCTATAGTCCCACTACTCTGGAGGCTGAGGCTGGAAGACGGCTTGAGCCTGGGAAGTTGAGGCTGCAGTGAGCCATGATTATACCACTACACTCCGGCCTGGGCAACAGAGTAAGACTCTGTCTCTAAAAACAAAATGAAATAAAAGAAACATGATCTTATTGCATTATTCAATGGTGATCACTGGTGATTGTGATCATTTGTGAATGATCATAAAGATGTCAGCCACTGGTAGTGACTCCCTGTGTCTGGTGGTAGCATTTCAGTAGAGAATGATGTGAAGGAAAATATGAAAAAGTTGAGGGAGAAAGTGATGGCACCATCAGCCTAGAAATTAAAATAATTATGGGGATAAAATAGAATCCACCTCTTCTGCTGCCAGGCTTAAAATAGCATAAGAGGAAGAAAGCTACCAACTCCAAGCAGCTTTCAGTGAAAAGATTACAGGGTCTTTGAAAATAATGGTTTTCCCACTAAACTGGTACAGAACATTATTGTAATATGTTTAAACTAAAAAGCTGGCTCAATATCTCCCACTGGAAAATGGCATAGCCCAGAAAAGCTACTTGAACACTTAGATTTTAGACATCTGAACGAATGTCAGGCTATATTCATAATCCAGGGTAACAACCAGCCATCCATGGGATGATACCACCCTTGGATCCCAACCACCTGTGCTTTGACTGAACACCTTGGCCATTGCCAGGGGCCACGTCCTGGCTCCAGGTTGAAGCGTGGTCTTGCCTTGGCCAAGATCTTTCTGTCTGATAGACCCAGTACACAGCTGTACTCTGGACTAGGAGAAAACAGCAGTGGTGACTGCATTGCCCTGCACTACAGTTCTGCATTCTCATAAAAGTAGGAAGAAAGA